AAAAAGCACTGCCCATTGGATTTTCCAACCTCTAACATGAGGTTTCAAAAAGAAATAGGTAATTTTTTCCTTTGCAAAAATGCTTTAATTTGAAACCAACCAGCAAACGTCTCCAAAAGAAAACTGGCTGTGATGCGATCGAGAGCTGCAGTGTAATATTGCAGAGCAAATTTATTTTTTACTTCAAAGAAAAATGCTAATTAGCCGATTCACTACTTTTAAAGTTATTGTGAAGCATATGGCGCCCAGTGTGAGATACATCCAACTGCTAAAATAGAGCGAAGAGGAAATTAGCGAAGAATGGGCTGTTTGGGGTGAGAGTGGGGGTGGGGGAGGAGGGTAGATTCTCTGGCAGATTCTCTAGCCCTTTCAAAATGATTTTATCGCCTTCTCTGTTTCCCGCCTCCTCATTTACCCACACCCCCTTCTCAACCGTTGAGCCAACCTCTTTGGGCCTCCAGCTCCCCTCCCCCCACTTTGCTGGATTCAGGTGTGTCTGTCTTGCTGGCCATCAGCTCACACCTGGTCTCTAGGAGGTTCCAACCCTGCAGCACCCATCTCCATCTGCAGGAAATATTTACAAAGTAGGTTTCTAGGGATAGAGCCTTCATCACGACGGCCCAATGCCCCAGAAAATACTAGCTATTGGATCCATTAACATGGTTTGCTGAGAGATGTAAGAAAACTGAAAAAGGCGGGAAGGGGAGGGGGCGGGGGCGAAGCATACCGAGGCCCTGCCTTGGGTAACTAGCCTCCTGTGCTCTGCAGACTGGCAGAAGACGGAGGCCCAGAAGCGACGTGAACAGCTCCTGCTGGATGAGCTGGTGACCCTGGTAAACAAGCGCGACGCGCTCGTCAGGGACCTGGATGCACAAGAGAAGCAGTGAGTGGGTCATGGGGTTAGGGTCCAGGTGTGGCCACAAAGCCAAGAAGTTTGTGGAAAGTTCAATCCTCAGGTCTCCAGAGAGCCAGGGCAGCCTCCATCTGATCTGGTGCTCTGCATTCCCGCTAAGGACCCAAATGTGGGGTGAACTTACTCTGCCCTCTAGGAAGAAAATAATTTTGTTTCCTGTTTGACATCCAGGGCCGAAGAAGAAGATGAGCATTTGGAGCGAACTCTGGAGCAAAACAAAGGCAAGATGGCCAAGAAAGAGGAGAAGTGTGTTCTTCAGTAGCATTAGACCAGAATCTCTCCCAACATTTTAGTCTTGAGGCCCCAGACCAGAAACAGACTCTTTGATATAAAACTTCTAACATTTACTTGGCTGAATTGTATTTCTGTACCACCACCACTTTTCCTCCCTCTTTTCCAGATAATATACAGAACTCCAAAGTAGCTTTAAGGATTTTTTTAATGAGTTAATCATTTTTTGAAATCATGTGAAATAGATTTGCACAGATACCTTGTGAGTGATTGGTTTTGGAGGCTTTCAAGAAACTTTTAAAAAATCACTTCCTACATTTTCCCTCAGATGGGAGGAAAATTTCAAACATTTTGTTGTTGTTGTTATTGTTGTTGTTGTTGTTGTTAATAGCATAATGACAGTGGGAGGGGGCAATGAAGGGATAAGAAAAATGGTATAAATGATTTTTTTCCAGTCCTGCCATATGTAAAAATATGTTACCCAAATCATAGATCATATTCAATCTTCTTATTAAACTGTGTTCTATTTACCAGTGGAGTTTTCTGCAGTTGTTTTGCATTTCACTGTAAGGATAATAGACTTGCTCTCTGCTTTCCTTAGAGGATAGCCCTTTAAGGTAGCCTGAGACGACAGGTCCTGTGGTTTGAAGGTGAGCTGTGAGGATGAGACTAATTGACCTGCAGCTGTTTACAAAGACAGTTTTATCATCTGAGAATGCGCCATCTTTTTCTCTGGATAATTATTTATTACATCTTGCTTGATCCCTATATTTTGATGGGTCTCAACATGGGCTCAAGAATGCTGTTAATATTTATTCTGTATTGATAAGTGTGTCTTGCCACTATGAATAAATACCCCGATTAATTTCTTCTCTAGCATAGCACTGTCATTTTTTTGTGAAAATGGTTATCTGTTTATTTATTACAATCCTGAGTCATATATAAATTTTCAATAAAAGCAGAAACTTTCTTACCTTAAACACTGTTGCTGTTTTTCTTGCAATGAAAAGTTGAGCAGAAGTTTGTGTATCCATAAGACTTTTCATGTGAAAATGATCTTCTGGAAGGAAGGGCAGGATACTGCACTGCATTTGGAGCTGAATAAGTTTACAGGATCCCAGAGGAGCCCTGCTGACACACATATGCAAATTGAAAAGTAATTAGTCATATTCTTAAAGATTGTAAACTATTATCTCTTTTGGAAAGGGTCATCTCTTAAAGATTTGAGGAAATGTGTGATTCCACACCACTGGGAAAAATATATATATTCTTATGAGTTTTTCATGTTACTACTTTAAATTGTCAGTTTTGCAGTTTGCGATTCTCCAGTGGAGAACTATGTCTTCTGATAACCAGCAAGTCTGTGGGTATTGAAGTAAAAGGAAGAGGTTGTTTGGGAAAGGTGAGTTGGGGGAGGAGTGTGTGCAGGTATGCGAGATGAGGAAAAGGGGAATTTTAACAAGAATTTCTAGGCCCCAGATAAAACTGGCTGCTCTACAGTAGTTTCCATCACTCCTCTACCCGGATGTCCAAACAAAGAAAGCTCGTTCAACAAGTCCGAAAACTTGGAGAAAACATTAGCTCTTACACTTAAGCCCCCCCCACACACACACAGACACATTTCGTTCGAAAAGTTCGCTGCAACTTCCAGTTGTCAGTCTTTCAAAGTGACAAAATTTTGCCACGGTAGAGTATCTTCATGACCAGAAAAAAAATTTAAGTTTCTGAAAACTTACTGAAACTAAATGAAATCGGCTCTTTGCCCTCTTTATTCGATCAGGAGAACGGAACTAGCTGCTGCTCTCTGGGGAAAGCTCAGAACCCGCTTTAACCCCTGGGAAATCTGCAGACGATTTCCGTGGAAATCGGCCGCCCTAAACTGCCTAGGGTTTGAGCGAACCACAGCCCCCACTCCATCTGTAAGCTGGATTCAAGGAACCTTCTGAGGGGCCTCGCAGAAACGCAGCTTTCCCCCCCCCCCCCCGCCAAGTCGCTCGATTTCTGCCAAGTGACAAACCTTTTAAGTCCCAGATTTGCTAGGTTGGGGTGGGGGGCGCTGTGCGGCCCCTCACCTTGCCCCTCCTGCTTCAGTTCCCCGACTCGCAGGGTTTCCATTTGGGCTACTCCGCAGCGCCGGAACGCCCCTCAGCGGCGGTGGAGTGTGGGCCCCCCGGGACTGGCCAGGTCAGGCCCGCGGCAGGCGCGCCGCGTTCCTACTTCACTGCGAGGTGCCCAGGGGCCGGCTCTGGAGAACCCAGCGTGCCAAGGGACTGGGAGCTTGAAAGCCTGCGCTGTGGGATCAAAGACTAGGTCTGGGGATTCGCCAAGGTGCAGGAGCGTTGGCGGTGGGCTTGCTTAGGCGCAGTCCACGGGCCAGTGCAGAACTTTCGCCCCTAGCTAAAAACTTCGGGCTCTGAATTCAAACCTATGCCCCTGTCCCAGGTGTCCTCTGGGATTCCAGCCTCGCCTCAAGGTCACCTGGGTGCTGGATCCAGGTCTCAGAGTCCTACTCCTTTGCCCCATCTTGGTCTGTGAGCCTTTAACTAGGAGGCTTCCCCTCGTCCAGCGCGGTCCTCACCTTCCCCTCCCCACGCTGCTGCGGTTTGCTGGAGCGGTCGCAGCTTCTGGCCCACTGTTGCCCACCCGGGTTTTTGCCTAGTGACGGCCGCCTCAGTCCTCAGCGCTGCATTCAAGAAACTTTCATCTCAGTCTCTCTCCCTCTTGACTCACCTACCTCTCCCCTTTCGTCTTTCTTGTCTTAATCCCGGGGTTTTATGATCTGAGCATGAAGAAAATTCGCCTAAAATTTGGGATTAGATAAATACTCTCGGCTTCGGGGTGGGGGTGGAATCCGTACTACTTGATACCTCCCGACTTCCCCGAGACTGGAGGCTGCATCTGGAACCTAGAGCGCCGGACTCCTGCGCGGCGGGCCTTAGGGACCGCGCGGGCACATTCCAGCGCTCGCGGAGCCCCACCTCGTCTTGCTGGACCCGTGGTGGGTTCTGCGGCTGCCAGCAACACAGCCTGAAGGAGGCAAGAGTACGAAATGTTGCAGAATCCGGCCAGGACACTGGCCTTAGCACCGGAGGTCCAATCCCGGCTCATATCGCGCAGACCAGGATTCTGGTAGCGCCAAGTTAAGAACGCGGACCGGGCCAGCTGGCGCCCCAGGACGTCTGCATACTCTTCCCCGAAACTAGTGCGCCCCAGCCCGCTCCTTTTCCTGGAACGGGGGACGGAAGGGTATTTCGTTTCCTTCTTTAAACCTCAGCACGATCTCGTGGCTCCAAGCCACGGGCCGCTGACCGCTGGCCTTGTGGACTACTCCAGGCGGGGGCCTTCGCGAGCCTGAGGTGTGTCCCCGCCTGGGCCAGAGCTGCGCTCTGCGGTGTTTACTTTCCTCTTAAACGTTCTCTCTCTCTTCTCTCTCTCTCTCTCTCTCTCTCTCTCTCTCTCTCT